AATCAGCAATTAACGCATATGTAGTAGTCAATGGCTGCGTTCCTTTTGGCGCTTACAGCGCTTATTAAGCATCATTTGTCTTTGTTCAATACTTGATAAACAACAAGGATGAAATGATTTTGTGAGCGCTGTAAGCAGCTGTAAGCGCCAAACGGAACGCAGCCAATGTATTTGCATTGTTTAAAAACAAATTTTAATTGTTTTCGATATTAGTGGAAGATTGAAAAGCGAGATTTTGATAAATGGAAGATTGGAAAAATAGATTTGTAGAACTTTTATGTTAACTATATATATGATTTATTAACAAATTAGCTGGCATATGGTCTTGAAATTTATTTTTGTTGCGCACTATGATGCTATGCAATATTTTGTTACATGATATGCTACACAGTGACGTTATACACCAAATTATATGTCATTTTGCATATCGATATATATAATTGTACCACTTATGATTAGAAAAAGCCTATACGTAGAACATTTTTCGTACATATTTACGTTGAAATTTTCCGAATATATATATAGTTATTCTTTGGACAATTCGAGATTATTACCCTGACTGCATTATACGTGAAAAAGATGTGCTATATTTTGACCTCAAAGTCGCAAAAAATATGATATGTGAAGTGTGTGTATTTTATTAAAGAGACATCTTAAAATATTAAATTAATTTAAGTTAACTTAAAATATTTTATTACTTTATTTTATCTGGTACAATGCTACAAAGAGTTATAAATTTTTTCAGGCGTTCTATCAAAAGGCTACGCCGCAGAAAGTACAATCTCTGCTCTCTGCCTGCACTAAACGTGGCAAGCAACGTCATTATGACTTATCACAATAAAATTATTTAATTCAAAAATCAAATATATACTTAATAATATAAATCGTTGCAGTACAAAAGTGCGCAAAAATTTTATTCAAAGGATATTTTCTCTTAAGATAATAATACATCTGTCCTTAATTTTATTTCATTTATCTGAACACTTTTGTCTATTTTAAATACAAATATCCGTATCAAAGTAACTAACAATAAAATAACTTTTATAGAAATCATCGCGTATTTTGAACCTGCAAATTTAGTTATAAGTAAATTTGATTGCAATATTTTGTAATTCATTCATGCTTACCTAAACAATTCCTTGGTCCGTCACTGAAAGGAATATAATAATACGAATGACAATCCTTTATCTTTTCTGGTAGAAATCTATCTGGATCAAACTTCAATGGATTCGGCGCCAGTACTTTTCATTTCAAAACATCCGCATAAATGCTAGGATAACATTAGTGTTTTTCGGTAAAGTTACATCTCCTGAAACGTGTATTATTTGTATTTAGACATTACTATACAAAAAAGGATTTACGTCTTGAACTGTATACATGCTACGTCTATTTCTGTCCGGTTTTTTTCTGTATTTCTTTTTATACTGCATGAGGATGACTCAAACAAGAGCCAAACGTTTGCGCTTTAATTAAATTGTATCTATTAATTAATATATATTTTATTTAAAATACACTATCATCCTGTGTCGACTTATATTAATTTCGTTCATATTTATTGATCTAAATATTATTACAAAACATTTAACAAGACAAATTTAAGGATACCATTCTAAAATATATATAGATGGTATATAAAAAAAATAACAAATAATATCAGGTCAAATCTTTGTTAATCATTTCAAATACAATGCACAAATCAACTACATTCTCCAACGGAAATTACCTTCTTGTGGTGACGGCGGGCAACATATTGAATATGATTAAAATTCTCGGAAAAAATGTCGTCTTGGCGAATAATGAGCTTCGAGGGATCTCGGTTGACACCTTTATAAATAAAGT